CCTTCCTACTTCCTTCTCCCCTCCTTTCCTCTTTTCTCTCTCCTCTCCTTTCTCCCTTCCTTCTCTTTCTTCCCTACTTCCCTCTTCTTCCTCTCCTCTCCTCTTCTCTTTCACCACTCTCTCCTCCAACCTTCCTACTTCCTTCTCCCCTCCTTTACTCTTTTCTCTCTCCTCTCCTTTCTTCCCTCTCATCCCTCTTCAGATACAATTCAGGGGTAATGTCCGAAAAAACTCCTCTCTCCAAATTTCCCTATCTGTATTATATACAATAAGATTAATTTTCTCTTACATTAATACTTCTATTTATCTAACCTTCTCAGTATATACGTCTATAAATATGTATACAACCTCCAGTTATTCAATTCAACCGCGGAGCGATTCTAAGGTCAGGTTAAAAGCTTCGAAGGTAGGAAGGAGCCCCGCAAAAGGAGGGGATCTTCTTCCCTCCATCATGGGGAGGGACAGGGAGAGTTTGGGCCAAGCGTGGTTGCCTTAGCAGGGTGTTCTGGAGGGATAAAGGTTGGGCAGGTGGCCGACTCACTGAGTTGGGAGAGGGACCTTGGAGGTCTTCTAGTCCAACCCGCTGCTCAAGCAGGGCTCTTCAAACTTGGCCCTTGTAGGACTTGTGGACTTCAACTCCCAGAATTCCTCAGCCAGCCATTGCCTGGCTGAGGAATTCTGGGAGTTGAAGTCCACAAGTCTTAAAAGAGCCACGTTTGAAGACCCCTGCCCTATACCATTTCAATCAATCAATCAGTTAATTAGAGCTGGAAGGGACCTTGGAGGTCTTCTAGTCCAACCCCCTGCTCAGGCAGGAAACCCTATACCATTTCGGACAAATGGCTGTCCAGTCTCTTCTTAAAAACTTTCAGTGTTGGAGAAGGGAGGGAGGGAGGAAGGAAGGATAGATAACAGAATAATAGATGGAAGGGACCTTGGAGGTCATCTAGTCCAACCCCCTGTTCAGGCAGGAAATCTTATAGTACCATTTCAGGCAAATGGCTGTCCAGTCTCTTCTTTAAAAATTCCAGCGTTGGAGCATTCACCTCTTCTGGAGGCAGGTTGTTCCACTGGTTAATTGTTCTAAACTGTCAGGAAGTTTCTCCTTAGTTCTAGATTGCTTCTCTCCTTGATTAGTTTCTATCTGTTGCTTCTTGTCCTGCCTTCAGGCAGTTTGGAGAATAGCTTGACCCCCAATTCTTCTTTGGGGCAGCCCCTGAGATATTGGAAGACTGCTATCGTGTCCCCCCCCCCCGTCCTTCTCTTCATTAAAGTAGACATACCGAATTCCAGCAACTGTTCATTTGTCCTTAACTTGTCGTTAAAAAGGCTTGTGAAGTTCCTTTGAAAGGAAGGTGGGATTTCAAGTGGTACTGATTGCTTGATTGATTGATTGATTTCCCTCAATCTAAAGAACTCCAGACAACTCTGGGCATTGCAGGGACCCCCTTCTCTCTTGCCTTTGGGGCTATTTGCAGACTCCTTCATGTTTTGTATGCATAACTTGATTGTTGCTTCTTAGCATCAGAGATAGTCAGGGAAAGCCTTTTGCCCCTTCACAGGACCGTGAAAGCCAATGCAGAAAAAATGTAGTTTTTTTTTTTACTGATTTTTATCTTTGGGAATTCTCTGAATCGCTACCTTGGCAGTTATTTTTGTAACTGCAAAACCAACATTTATGCTGCTTTCCTCTTTTTCAGGTGGAACTTAACGTCTTGTGGCACGAGCGTAGCCAGCTCCGAATGTAGTGAGGAGCTCTTCTCTTCGGTTTCTGTGGGCGACCAGGATGACTGTTTCTCTCTCTTGGATGACCAGGAGTTGACCTCTTTCGACCTGTTCCCTGAGGGGAGTGTCTGCAGTGACGTCTCTTCCTCCATTAGCACATACTGGGACTGGTCAGATAGTGAATTTGAATGGCAGGTAAAAAAAAAAAAGAGTTTGCAGTGGTTTGGGTGAAGGAGACAAACTGTGCTGTCCATGCATTTAGAACCTGCAGGAGTTCTTAGAACAGGCCTCAAAATGTTAGACCAGCGTTTCTTCGTTCCCATCCGTTGTTTCTTGTCTTGCCCTCTGGTGCTTTGGAAAATAGTTTGACCCCCTCTTCTTTGGGGCAGCCCCTCAGATATTGGAAGGCTGCTATCATGTCTCTCCTAGACCTTCTTTTTCTCTTAACATGCCCAATTCCTGTAACTGTTCTTCATATGTCCTTGTCTCTCCTTACAAAGGATTGTGAAAGTCCTTTGAAAAAATGGTGGGATCACGTTTCTCAACCTCAGCCACTTTAAGATGTGTGGACTTCAATTTCCAGCTGTGCGGGCTGGGGAATTCTGGGAGTTGAAGTTTTAGAGTGGCTGAGCTTGACAAGCACTGTCTTAGACGTAGTTATTAAAAAATAAACACTGCTTCTGCAGCAGAGTGTCTTTCACGCTGCTATATTTAGGCTTGAGCGTAGATTTAATTTAGGTAGCAAGTGTGAATGCTAATAATCTGTATGCATTGTTAAGTGCGGTACTCTGATTCTGTTTTATTGTCAGCTGCCTGGCAGTGACATTGCAAGTGGGAGTGAGGTGCTGTCTGACATAATTCCCAGCATCCCAAGCTCCCCTTGCCTGCTTCCAAAAAAGAAGAACAAACACCGGAATCTCGATGAACTTCCCTGGAGTGCGATGACCAACGATGAGCAGGTAAATCCTTGGCAGTTTGGAGGACCGGTGAGTCTGTCCCAAAATACGGTCCTGGACTTGGGACTGGGAGCGTGGGGTGTACAAAGGAGCCAGATCAAATCATAAAGACAGAAGAGTGTTTCTTATGGTAAGTTATGCTAGCAGGAGAGTTAATTAGACTAGCTAATTAGTAAATTAGACCCAAATCTGAAGGAATGACTTAAGAGCACAGTTTGGAACCAGAATTTCTGTTACGAAGCAAGGCAGTTATAAAGTCACGCCCGATATGATATCCTTTCTTGTTGCAGCTGTTCGATGAATCACTGCCATCGTTAACCGAATCAGGCATTCATTAAACAAATCTGTCTTCTCCCATTGACTTTGCTTGTCGGAAGCCAACAGGGAATAGCATTCCCATGACTCTGAGATGCTGCAACCATCGTAAATACGTGCCAGTCACCAGGCCCTCTTTCATCAACATTAGTCATGTTAATATTTGTGGGTTTTGTTCCCAGGTGGAATATATTGAATATCTGAGTCGGAAAGTCAGCATGGAAATGGGCCTTCGAGAGCAGCTTGACATTATTAAAATTATTGATCCGATGGCTCAGATTTCGCCCACAGACAATGAATTTATTATCGAACTGAACTGTCTCACGGATGAAAAGCTGAAACAGGTATGTGAAAGGGTTTCCTGCCTGAGCAGGGGGTTGGACTAGATGACCTCCAAGGTCCCTTCCAACTTTATTATTATTATTATTATTATTAAGATCTCTAAGCTTGGCTACTTCACGACTTGTGGACTTCCAATTCCCAGAATTCCTCAGCCAGCCATGGCTGAATCCGGAGAGTTGAAGTCCAGAATCAGTGAAGTTGCCCAGGTTGGAGACCCCTGCCTCAGAAGAAAGCTCTGCATAGAATTCATTGCTGTGCTATCTTTTGGGGGGGGGCTGTCCCAGTTCCTAACCCCCTGCCCTTCCTTTGTCCCTTTCTTCCCCTACCTCTAGGTCCGAAATTACATCCGGGAGCACGGCCCTCGGCAGCGGTCGGCCAGGGAGACCTGGAAGCGGAGCAGCTACAGCGGGGGCAGCGCCAGCGGCGTGAGCGGCGTGAGCGCCAGCAGCAGCAGCGCCAGCATGGTCAGCTCAGCCAGCAGCAGCAGTTCGAGCATTGGGAACTCGGGTTCGAATTCCAGCGCCAACCTCAGCCGGGCTCACAGTGAGAATAACTTATCGACGAGTGCTGCAGCAGAACGTATTCGGGATTCAAAAGTAAAGCATATGCATGGGTGTGTGTGTGTGTATGGGTGTGTGTGTGTATACAGGTAGTTCTCGACTTACAACACTTCATTAATGACTGTTCAAAGTTACAATGGTAGTGAAAAAGGAGACAGTGGGAAAGGGCGACTCACTTGACAGCCTGGTTACTAGATTATCAACTGCACTAATTTACTTAACAGCTGTGCCAAGGAAAGTCGTAAAACAGGTCAAGATTTACTTAACAAATGTCTCACTTAACAACCGAAATTTTGGGCTCGGTTGTGGTTGTAAGTCAAGGACTACCTGTGTGTGTGTGTGTGTATATGTATATATGTATATATGTATATAGATTAGATATAGATATATATATAGAGAGAGATAGATTAGATAGATAGATAGATAGATAGACAGATATACAGATATACAGATATACAGATATACACAGAGAGAGAGAGAGAGATCGGTGCATCAGAATTTCATTTTTGTAATGTGTGCCAGTGTGTTCACGAAAAAAAAAAAAAGACAATAAAGATTATCTGCCTTAAAGTGGGAAAACCGAGTTTGGCTTTTTTTCCTCCTCCTGTTTTGTCAGAAACGCTCCAAGCAGCGGAAACTTCAGCAGAAGGCTTTGCGGAAGAGGCAGCTGAAAGAGCAGCGCCAGGCGCGGAAGGAAAGGCTGAGCGGCTTGTTCCTGAACGAAGAGGTCTTGGCGCTAAAAGTGACGGAGGAGGACCACGAGGGAGACGTGGATGTTTTGATGTGAGATAGGAATGTAGTGATCAGTGTTCTTTCTAAGCCTTAAGCTTCACGCGATTGTTTACATACACTTGTACCAAAACGTGGATTGAATCAGGACTAGCTGTCCTCCTCCTCCTTACGTCACTTACCTGTGATTGACTAGTTTTGGTTATTTGGTTTTTCTTTTCTTTCTTGCAGAATTGTAGGAAATCAGGAAGATGTTCTTTAAAAGGATGGAGTATTTTGTTTTCAGAGCAACCCGCTGGTTAAAAAAAAACAAAACAAAACTGCATTTCTGTCTTTCATTCCATTCAAATTATGGAAAGGAAACCCTTGGATTTAACTTTGAAAGTATTTTTCTTCTGTCTTCCTGCTATGTAAGTCTTAACGGTTAAAAGAAAGGAATATAGTCTGTGAAAATAATAATATGCCTTGCCAGGACTTTTTCTTCTTTGCCACTCCAGTTGTATCAAAGCCTAAACTTTATACCTTAGGTTTCCTGAAATTGCCGCTGTAATTTCACTTAACGGGGGGTTTCAGAACCGTGCGACAGGGCTGTTCTGGTGATCCAGTTGGTGGTTTTAAATCTGTGTTTTTCTCTCTATTTTCCACAAAGCAAGAGTATATTTTGGATTAGTCATAATAATGCTTTACTTGTAGATCTTGGTAAGGCAGGCATTTTATGGGTGGCCTGGAGTTTGGTATCAAGCAGTGGACAAGAAATAAGAAATGCTTATTGACAAATACATATTTCTTTTTCCCCAATGCATGTATTTCTTCTTCTTCTGTTCCAAATCCCCATAGTGTCGTGCCTTAAAATTAATTTGCTTTTTCTCTGTTGCTTAATATGGAAGTTTAGAGGAGGGGGAGCAAAATGGCAAGAATAAAGACGATCAAAGCACCCCAAAGTTCTTCAAAGCATAATTAGCTCAGCCTGCTTTTTTCTTGAAGAACCTCAAGCGAACTCGCTCTTGTACATAAAAAGAGAATTTTTTTATATTGAAAAACCAGATGTTACAGATTCAGCTAGAGGGCTGCATTGCTCTTTAGTTAATATTGATAGCTAATATTGAAGAAGTGCCCTGGGATGAGGCAACTGTTTAGGCCAACGTGTTTGAAAGAGTATTGCAATATTCTGTGATGTGGCCTCAAAGTAATTTAAGCTTCCATTATTTGTGCAGAAGGACCGAGATGAGCTTTCCTTCTCTGTTCCTAATACTTTGATTTTAGATTTTAGTCGAGCCGTGCATTGCTTACTTTTGGACAGAAACACCTTTTTCTGTTTTAATACTAACCATTTTGTGCTCTCATCTGATTTAAAATCTGAACGTGAGTAGAACAAAACGGTAGCTTGCCTGTAGTTTACTCTTTCCACCATTTTCAGATAATCTGTAAGAAAAAGGTTTGCATGAAGCAGTAATCTTTGATGACTAAAACAGAATGTGAAGTTTTTTCAGTCTCTCCCCCCCCCTTGTAGTTTACACAGGGGAAGTATTTAAACTGTATTTCAACATTCTAGCTGATCCATATTAAGGTAGTGTACACAGTACTTGGTAGATGTCGAATATTTATAGATGTTTGAAGCTCACTAGATTATTTCTACAAGCCAAATTCTTCTTTGTTTCCATTTTTAATCCTGGATTGTAGTTTTGGCACATAGTTACATTTATTATGATCATCAACTCTGCTCAAGAACAGGAAAATTATTCTAAAGTACTGTAGCCAAATCATACTCTGTGAGTACTAAGGCAGATTAAAATGTGGTAGCCCAATACTCGGTGTTGTAACAAACTTTGAAGAAGTGTGATCCCTCTTCATATTCTAGTCCTTAATTTCTGTAATTACCCAAAAGTTTCCAATTGCTTTAATCCTGCCCCCCCCCAGCTAATTTTTCACCTGTGTGTATGTGCGTTAAAATAATGATTGTTTACAGTGTCTCATGTGTTGATTCCTGGTTAACAACTGCTAAGATAGTTTTAAAAATTCAAAACGCTTTTGACTAAGCTGTGGTCTAAAACCACGTGTTTTTGGTGTTTTTTTTTTAATGAATTCTTTTTTTTTTTTACAAATTTAAAAGCAATGTTGGAATATAGAAAGGAGCTATTTTGTAGCCCGTTGCCTGTGTTCTATTTATTGTAAGCTGTTTACAAGCTGCATAAATATTTAATAAAATAACTTAAGTAATTGAGAGAACAAGTAAACTGCTTCTCTTGCAAAACTTAGAAGCAGCACTGAAAACCTGATTTTTTTTTAAAAAAAAAATTGCTATTCTGTTAGCTTGAATGTAACTATGAAAACCTGTTTACATTTTGTGTCTGTCTGTGTGTTCCCTTTCCTCACCCACTACAGATGTTCCAATAAGCCAAGTATTTGACTTTAAACAAAGGAGAAAAGCTTGTGTGTGTAAAAAAAAAAAAAGATTGCCTAGAATGCTTTGGTAGTTCTAACCACTGAGATATTTTCTTGATCTAGAGTAAAGACTTTACTCCTTTCCATTTGGTTTGTTTTATTTTTCTACGTGGCGTTGAAATAAAAGAGTTTCTAGAGAGAAATTATCTACATCAAATTGTATATATGCGACTGTAAAAAGTCCTGTTCAAGGCTCCTGTATCATAGTTGTAGAGAATCTTATAGAACATTAGCCAAATGTCTTAATTCTAAAAGAAAACCCTAATAGGTTTGTCATCTATCTCTTCTTGACTTATTCCCACCTTATCCCTCTGGTTCACTTCAGCAATAGTTAACTCATCCGCTTTGTTGGTGGGTCCATCAGATCATGGTTTATCCTGGCATTCTCCGTTCATTTGGTACATTGGTTTAGGATTCAGCTGCTGGAGGGAATCAGATTGAGAAGGTTACTCTTCTTCCCTCTGGGGTCAAATGTTTCTGTACACTCTTGAGGTCTTGTGGGAAAGTTTAGGTAATGTATATGGCAGCTTGACCAATCAATTCAAAAGTGATCATTATTACATCAGGTCGAGCTCACGAGCTTCTTACTTAAGTGTGGGCATGTGTAAAGGCAGAGTGCAGTGCATGTGGCCTCAAATGTGCTTTTTATAATCTGGTTGAGAGATAATAGTGTGTAATAACGGGTGAAAAGAAATGTGAGCTTCATAACCAAAGCAAAGAGACAGTTTTTAACTTTGGCGAGGATGCTTGAAATGGAGATCCATCTATCTATCTATCTGAACTGTTTCCTAATTTTCTGCCACAATGTATATTGAAACAGACTTGTATATACAATTTTTCATTGTACATTCTGTATCTACTTACTGTAGTGTTTGTAGAATCCACTCCTGTTTTGTCCTTGATGTTGCAAAGAATTTAACTGCTAAGTATAAATATTGGGCATCGTGATTTGTTTCCCCCCCCCTTAGCCCTGAATTGTATTTAAAAATGGTCACATAAACATAATAATCTGGGTTGGCATTAAAGACAAGATATGCTGATGCAAACGTAACATGTGCCGTGTCGTATCTGGAAAGATGCAGTTGGGAATTTTACCTAATATTTGGCAGATGTCAAACATCGGGCTCATGTTTTGGGGTCTCCCTCCCCCCTTCTCTTTAAGTTAAATCTATTCTAGGTTTTCTTCAATAGCTGGTGTGTGGTTCCACACCAGAAGGGTAAGAAATCAAATTGCTTTTAATTGTTTTATCCTAAAGGAATTCCAGGGGCTGTCAAAAAGAGGGATGTACAGGTGGTCCTCGACTTACGGCTATAAATTGAACCCAACATTTCTGTTGCTCAGCGAGACCTTTGTTAAGTGAGTTCTGCCCCATTTTACGACTTTTCTTACCCTAGTTGTTAAGTGAAACACTGCAGTTGATCAGTTAGTAACCCGGTTGTTAAGTGAATCTGGCATCTCCATTGACTTTGCCCGTCAAAAAGGCTGCGAAAGGGGATCACGCGACCTTGGGAGTCGTAAGTGTGAACCGGTTGCCAAGCATCTGGAATTTGATCCCACGAGGATGCAAAGGTCCTAAGTGTGAAAAACGGCCCTCACTTTTTTCCAGTGCCATTGCAGCTTTGAACGGTCACTAAATGAACAGTTGTAAGTCGGGGGCAACCCCGAAATACATCCCTGACGTAAGGCAGACCTTGCAGAGTTGGAAGTCTAAAATAGAGGCTGTGGTGCAGGAAAACACGCCCGTGATGGGCACATTCTACTAAAGGCAGATGTGTTTGCAGCTGCAAAAGGTAGGGTTTTGGAACTTCACCCCTAGGGCAGGGGTAGGCAACCGTGGCTCTTTTTTGACTGGTGGACTTCAATTCCCAGAATTCCTGAGCCAGCCACGCTGAGGGGAAAGGGAGAGGTTTCCATGCTGAGCCATGCTGGCTCAGGAATTCTGGGAGTTGAAGTCCACGAGTCCTAAAAGAGCCACGGTTGCCCCACCCCTGCTCTCGGGAAAGTAGTCCCAGGTTCACATTCAGAAAAGCCGTCCTGTGTATAAGAACAAGCCTGGGAAATTACTTTAAGGGGAGGGGTCTTTACCTGGCTGAAGCCATTTTATTGATGATTTGGAAGTGGGGGTTTGAATCGATGAGTAAACTACAGGGAATAATGTTCACTTGGACACTGGGGGAAAGTCTGTGCTGGAATGAAATATCCTTGAAGGAGATGGCCTCGTCTCAACCCAAGAGCTCGCTCTGACCTGTGGCAACATCTTGCCTTTCTGATCCCAGACTTGAAAGAGGTGGCAGGTCGTATCTCCTTGACCACCTGTACCAAAGCTGATTAAGAAGAAGCACATTTGGTCTGTCGCTACGTTCTTCAAAGACAAATGGCTCTTTTTGCCACTTATTTCCTTGGCATTGTGTACTAAGCAACCCTTTTTAGTAGAGAAAACGGTGTCTTGCTTGGATAGTATAAAAGGGCCAGCCAATCAAGAGTTGCTGGGTAGAGTTACAATAGTGGTAAATCACTCTCAGGTTACTTTGCTTGAAGCTGTTGATCGCTCCCACAAGAGGGAGCAGTGTTTTCATGCTTTTCTGCCTTCTGAAACACCCCAAAGTAGCAGACAAGCTTCTTTCAACCAGCAGTATTTTTACACCCTAAACATAAAGCATTATTTATGTGTCAGCCTAGGG